TCATCTCATCGAGCATTTTGTCTATGGAGAACCAATTCATCCCAAATTGGTAGTCTAAATGGTATCGAGAGCCTTAAACCATTTGGTTACACACACAAATATCAATCTTATACCATTGTTCCTTATTTTGCCAAAGGTAGACAAGTTCATAAACGAACTGAAGTCTGAAGAGGATAATCCAAACAGGGGAAGCCAAAATTTTACTCTTATAAGGTCTTTTTCTGCTCTTTTGGTACCTGGGAAGTTAGTGACAAAACCACCACGATTCTCGATCTCTTCCTTCTCCAAACCGGGCTCATGATCTACCGACAACTGCTTGGCCACGCCATTCTTCGAAATCACAGCCCGAGAATCCCCAACGTTGGCAACCACCAGCTTGTGACAGTTGATCAGAATGGCAGTCACCGCCGTGGAACCGCCTTTCCCCAAATTCCCTGCATTATCCAAGATGTCGGAGTCAGTCACGTGGTAGGCCGTGGTTATCGCCTTCTCCGGCTCCGACCAGAAATTGGGCTCCTTGAGGATGTTGTCGAAGAGGTTGTTGCGGAGGTAGTCTGGAACCGTGTGGCTGAGATGGCCGTCGAAGATGGCGAAGAGGCCGAGCTCGTTGTCGTCGACTTTGCGGAACTCGGCGAAGATGTAATCTTCCATTGGGTGGTGCGATTTGCCTTTCACCAGGTGGTAGCCATGGGTGACGTGCTTGTCCACTCTGCTTTTCCCTTTCCCTGAGTCCGCCGCCGAAGACCCCAATCCCACTTTCTCCTGTACAAGAAGAAGAGCTAGTTAAATACTTGATCCATTATCAATAACAGAGGAAATTCAAATTAACTGCAAATTCCGGCTATCGCGATCAGAGAACCTTCATCTTGTGGATGATTTCGGACATCTTGGAAGGGAAGGAGAGGTGGTTTTATGTACGTGTGGGTTTCTACTTCTGGAAAGGGAGAGGAGACAGAGAGGGTGAGCGAAGGGAGATATTGGGGAAAGGAAGAGTCGACAGAGAGGACAAAAGAAGAAAGATGGAAGGGGAAGGAGGACGGGAGAGAGCGAGAGGGACACGTGTCGGGGAAGTGAGAACAGGGAAATGCATAAAGAAGGACAGGTGTCGAATGCGACTGGATTACTATACACGTCAGCAAGACAGCTCAAACTCAATAATTGTTCGGATCCAATCAGGCCCATAGCTAAACACGCTGATGTGGAGTGTTGGGGAAGAGGAAGGAAATTGGGCTTGGTGAACTTGGGTTATGGATGAAGGGGCTGACTGGGCTGGGCCGATGATGCAAGAGAAAGGTGTGTGGATGTGGTGGTTGATCATCTCGTCTTTAGAAAATTGATTTCTGAGTAGTATGGAGATTTATCATTTCTTACCAACTACAAAGAGAGTAGATGGACTGGATCTCATAGTAATGCACCCAAAAAATGTCAAATTTGTTTTACAATCTCTTCCAGTAACTCAATTCAGTGGATCAAGCGGGTTTTTTCTTTCTTTTATGAATGAAATGTGTTACGTTTTTTCTTGACACGATACTAACCCTTAATAGTGATGATTAGGTTAAACAAGCATACAACAAAAAGGTACATATAAAATGAAAAAAGCTTCTAATTCCAGCCTGATGTGTGAGATGGTAGTGTCGGATCAAATAAAATAGTTCTGGATTGTCAAGAACTAGTAGGTCTCAATAAATTGAATCAATGTTAGAGGATTACTTAAAGATATTATACAACTCTCTTATATGATTTAATGTTGGTTGAACACCAAACAACATTAAACTATCGCTCACATGAGGTTAAGGGTAGGTGTCGATGACGATAACAGTGAATAATCTTCATGTTATAGATTATTGTATGAAGTGATAAACACGTAGTTACGATGGATTGAGTGTCTGTATTGTCAATAGACTAATCAGAAACCTTGGTGGGAATTGGGATGTGGATACTGGATGGTATATAGTGAAGGGATACTGTCGAGTTAGCACATGACACGGTTAGGATTAAGAAGAAGAAAAAATTGGAAGAGGGGAAACAAAGGGCTTGCTTGGTGGGGAAGGCAGTGTTTGAAAGTGTGGACCAGAATCTGGAGCTGACCGGTGGTCCTTAGGGCATGATGAGTTGCAATGGGACCCTAACGCCTCCCAAGAGACGGCCAAAGGGGGGACAACACAATTTTCCCTAGACCCTCATTTTGAGGAGGGAACTTGATCCAAAGTGACCTCTCTGTGGGACTACTCATGGTTTCAGAGATTCCTTTTCTTCTTGAATTCTTTTGATATTAAAGAAGGGTTCCATTGTCAAAAGACAATTTGGGGTACTGATTTGTTTGGGACGACTCAAGATTTTATTTTGGAATTCTTTAAACTTTAGTTATTGAGATCAATCGATTCTCAATATGATATCAAAGCAATTGAATAAAAATTGTCATTATGTATTTAGGTACCTAGTTACATCGATCCTCAAAATCAATTGACGATTAACGTGTATGATATTGTGGCTATGCTCAAACTTGTAACTCATGGACTATCTAACATTTGACGGGCGTATAACTTATTAGGGATTGGCAAAAGACAATGTTTTGGGTATTTCCCAAGTCCCAAGTCCCAACAACTCAAATTATTAGAATGAGTTGATTATCAACATAGTATCTAAAGCAACAATACTAGCCAGTACAGATCATGAAAAGGTGGATCTGAGCCACGTAATTCTCTGTTTGTCCCGTGAACATGTGACATAACTTGTGATTTTCCTGTAAAGTTTTCTCCCGATAATTCTACTAATGTAAAATTAAATAAATGCTATAAACTCAATTTATTCCAACATATAACTCATATTATTAAACATAAATCACATAAAAAAGACTTATCATTTTCTTACACTGTGTTTGCAAAACAAAAACAAAAGCAAATGTAGAAAGAACATGTTAAAGATTTGGTCCATGGCATCATCATGACAAACCCTAATTAATTAAGGTTTATCACTTTGTTAATTTGTTGATTGGTCCATCCTGTCCCTCCCTGGCCCTGCCTGCCCCTCTGGTCTCTCGTCTAAAGCCTCTCCTAGAGGCCATTTTAAGCCTTTTCTATACAGAGAAGATGAGTATATTTGGGGGGCTGTGTCGTCCACTGATCCTTGCAACAAGAGCATGTGGACGACTTGCTCAAGCAAGAGCCCCAATGCCAATTTGATCTAAAACAAAACCCTATTTTCTTTTACAAAGAGGATTATATAAAGGATATAAGTTGATCCAAGTGTTGGTGTCATCATTTCCTCCACCCAGTTATTCCCTACATAGCCTTCACAATGAGACATGATTGATACCCAAAGTTTCGATCCTACAACGCCGCATTCTAAGTTAAATTAACTTCGATCATGAATCCATGATCATATGTTGAATTTTGAGTGGCCCTCTAATTCAATCCATCGTGCTCACGTTTATTGATGTGAATTTCATCAAGGCGACATACATATATATACATCCTCGTAACTTCCCGTCCATGGTAGATAATCCGTATTCAAATCAATGATTGTAAAATCGTATCGAATGTTGTATCGGAAAAATCAACAGTACAAGTATTTTATACTAAAACTGTGATTTATTCGTGGTTCAACAATTTTCTATCGCTCAAATCACCTATCATTTCGATTCGATATCCAGTATTTTCCCGTCCGAGCTACCCATTATACAATAAAGTTTCTTAAACCTTGCTTCCAATCATAGCAACCCACACGGAACCATACACATTACACACCCTGACTCATAAACTACACGTACGCTCCCTCGATGTGTATATATAAATGGTGGAAGCAGCTGCCACCCTAAAAAAGCAGCAGCAGAGTATCTCTGAAGGAGAGAGAGCAGAGATCATGACTCCACCAAAGGAAACCACCAAGCCTCACCCAGATTCCGACGAGTTCGAGTTCGGCCGCTTCCCGCCGGACTCACCCACCGGCCAGAGCACGGATCAATCCTCCTCACCGGCCGATCACCTCTTCTCCAACGGCCGCCTCCTCCCTCATTCCTTCCCACTACCAATGCTGGTCCACAATAACAAGAAGGAATTTTTTCTTTCCCCGCCATCTGATCTCTCCCTCTTGTCCTCCAGAAGCAACAGTGTGAGCAGCAGCAGCAGCAGTGTCACTACTGCCAGGTCATCATTATCCACGTCATCGTCGTCGTCATCATCGGATCACAACAGGAGACTGGTGTCATCTTCGAAACTTGCCGGCCGGAAACAGAGTACTATTACAAGTACTCCGGTGGCGAGCAAAGTGGTGATGGCCCAGCTCTACGGCGATTCGTCCCAGAGGTGGCAGCATCTTGTGCCACCGTTGAGGAGCCGCAGCGGTAGGGTGGTGGGGAAAGGAGGAAAATCCCCGCCGGCGAGGAAGAAGAAGCAGCCGGCTGGCAGCAGTGGTGGCGGTGGTGATGGGTTCTGCCGGAAACTTCTGCGGTGGTTGTTGGTGGCGTGTAGAGAATGCCATGCTCTGGAACCTTCACCGTCACGTAGTTGAAGAAATTTGTTGTTTACTTGTTTTAATGTCGCTGTGGTGGTGGCGGTTTCTTTCAGTTGGGAGAACTTGTAAACAGAGTTACCTCTGATTGAGAAGGTTTTGGCTTTGTGTTGTGATCTAATTGTAAAACAAAAGGGGAAAAATACAAATTGCTTTTGGTTTTTCTTTACCCCTCAAGTTGATTTGGTGTGGGATGCCAGTGGTTGCTTTAGAATGAAGTAACTAAAACGATTAGTTTCAAGATACTTGGTGAAAAAGTCGGTTCTGAGCGGTGATGATCGTGTATGATTGAATTTCTTGTTTTGGACATCCTCACATACGAAGTGGTATTTTGTTGTGTTTAGCGTGTTCATTAAAATCGATATTGTCCGTTAAGTGAAAATCAGCTTAATCTTCTTAGAAGTAGTTTTTGGAGTAAAATGAGTTTACTAACCATTATAGCCATGGCATGATACTAAAACTTCAACAAAAGAGTTTAACCAGAGTTCGATCGACTATAAACTCTCCAAGTCATTTCAGAAATTTGACGACACAAATGATAATTTGAGCAAAATTCACACATTCTGAGTTTCTGATAGTATTAAACCCTAAGCTTATGATTTCACATTAGAAACATCAGCTACATGATATAAGAAACTAACAAAAGGACGGTACTACTACTACAACAGTACGTCTTATAGTTGAAACTGAACCTGGAAACAAAAGCTCAACTCTTAAAAAGGTGGCACCTATCATCATAATCTCTCTCCCTCTCTCTCTGTCACTCACTCAGTCAGACACTCTCCTTAATCATTCCAAGTAGCTTCTTGAGCTTGTTGCACAGCCATCCGGCCGAGAGCCAGAGGAGGAAAATGGATTACAATCATGCATTTCCGAAGCTTCAGAATTGTTTCCTGACAAGAGCTTGGCATCCACGTCTGTTCTTCCAGTTAGAGCACTGAAGAAAGACAAGCCATTGGGCCATTTGATGTCGCTCTCATGCTCCCCTGGCCCCATCATCATCTCCTCCATTCTATTAGGCTCCGACGCCACCGACGGATGGGGGAGCAGGAACATATGTGGTGGCGGTGGCTCTTCTTTCCCCTGTGGTGGGAACCCCATCGATCTCTCTGGGTGCTGGAAATTGGGGGAGCTGAGCATGGAAGCTGCTGCAGATGGTGGGAGGGGCCTTTGGCCATGGCCCCAGTTGAAAATCGGGGGAGGCCTGGTGGGCATCATTAGAGACTGCTTGGAAGGGATTGAGGGTGATGATGAAATGTTGTTTCTATTGGTGGTGGTGGAGGAGAAGAGCTGGGAGATGTAGAAGCCAGATTGGTAGCCGAGTGACTCAAATGTATGCCTCATTCTCAGCACAAAATGCAGGTCTTCAGCTATCTGATAAGCCAACCAGAAACAAGCTTCCAGTCATGAAATGTGCCCACCAATTTCATGGCATATACAGAACATTCAGAAAGAGAGATAAAGAGTACTCACAATCTTGCAGGAACCCAACTGGAGTAGGCCATGACCAGCTTGAATCACTGCAATGGTCTGTCACAAGAAGACGTTAGATTTGAAGTTTACAAACAACATTTATGTGTGTCAAGAAGAAGAAGTGTGTTTGAGAATGACCTGAATCCCAGAGTCAAATTGATCAGTCCATTCAGGGGGAAGCTGCAAAAAAGAACACAACACACCCATCTCAGTCCAATGGAATTATAGAGATGCATCTGTTTAATTGTATACCGATAGTTAAGTCGGTACAATCTTATTATGAATTTCACCACGACTGCACATGATTTTGTTACTATACCTTGGATCGCTATTCTCACCAACTTGATCCCCATTACAGTTCACAAATATGATCCAAATAACTATGGAAACTTTTAGGCAAAGAAATCCCCACATCTATGATACAGTCAATCAATTGGTATTACATACAGCATCAAAAGAGCTCTGCCAGTAGTTGGCCGCATTTGGTTCAGATTCAGATGGGTCCTTGAACACCCATTTGTGGCACTTATCTGATGCAACCTTCCCCATTAACCTGTTCATGAAAAACAATCAATCACAACATAGAGACTGGAACAGAAAAGAGAGAAAAGCCACCTACGGAATACCCACCCTTCTCCATAATTATATAGCTGAATAGACATTTTGCTGAATGCTTTGCGTACAGGATCTTCTTCCCCATGATCGATGTTGTCGTCGAATCCATCTCTTCCAGCTCTTCCTCGGCAATATCCGTCTTCCCACATCAACATCCTTCAAATTTAAAAACTTTCTGGTTTCTCAATCACTAACACTAATCATGTTAAAGCTGAAGCTGTCAATGGTGGCCACAAACAACTAATTGTTCAAAGTAAACTCTTCTCACCAAATAATACTATGGTAATCAATGATCGTGTTTGTGATATCATATCGTACTAATTGGTTGTAGGGATTAATCCATATACTAACGATCACGGCGCGGTTCACCCAATTGATCTGTGAGGTATGAAACAACAGAAAACTTCCCCTCAAGTTTGTCCCTTTCCGATATCCCCTTCCCACCACAGTTTTCCTCCGTTTAGAGTTAGACTCACTTAGAACAAACAGAGGTTTGCCTCTCTGTTTTCTCTGACGGAGTTCAAAGAGTGTGCAGGGAAAACAGGAAAATGGAAACCCACAAGAGGAAGAATGAAAAAGAAACAGAGCTTCGTGTGTATGAGTTTTGCAGGGCAGGGGAACTTACAAGCTTCCATTGTCGTCCCCAACCTTGCAACCATTGCCTCCCCTGACTCTCCTGCCACAAAGAGAAAGGGAAAAGGTGGGTTTTTAGGTTTGCTTTGTGTTACCCATTTTAAGGAAACAGCTCAAATCGGAAAAAGCAGAGAGACAGATAGTAAAGAGTGGAAGAAATTATGGAAGAGAGAGAGGGAGAGAGGTGAGTACGGGCGAGGACGAATAGTCCAGAAAACAGAGTAAATCCAGTCTGAGTTGAGACAGACGGCCCTGAGGGCCTCATGAAGTGCCATCATCCCAACCGCTTCTTTGTTGCTCCTATCTCCTCCTCCTGAGCCCACCATCCTCTCTCTCTCTCTCTTTCTTCAGCAAGCGGCAAACGTAAGTTAAGGCAAGCTTCCCTCGCCCTCTCTCTCTCTCTCTCTAGACCTTTTCCCCTATCCTTTTTTTTTTTTATCTCTTTCTCTTCGCACAGTCTTCAGAGAAAGCCACCGATGTCGATTCTAGTGACAGTGGTGAAGAAGACTAGAAGAGTTCCTCCATTTTTAGTTTCGCTTTCTTTACATGACATCCTCTGTTCTTTTCCCCCCTTTTATCTATGGCTTTCACTTTTGCAGTTTTGTTTGTTTGTGTATCATTGAATGCACCATTTTACTTTTTTTGTTTTGTATACCATTCATTTTGTTTGTCCCTAATCATGTTAAGCTTTTGTAAATCAAAGAAGAAATTAAACATGAACAAGGATGAAACTTCAGATTGGTTCGACAAGTATGTCTACATCTCATACGAATAGTTAATGGAGTTACAGTTGAACAAAATTATCGTTAAAGTTTCTTATTCATACAATTATAGCTCTATATTCTATGCATTATCACCGACTTTTCGAAGATATTTATTGTTGAGATGACGAAATTACCTCAATTTTGAACCTTTGATTATTTGATTGGTTTTTAACCCTCGTTGAGTATAAGAAAGGGCATCAATTTTCTTGCTTGGTTGAGGCAGATCATTGACCAGAATCTTTTGATGGTCAAAAGTGATGGGGAAGGGTGCAGAAGGTTAGATCTGGGTTCAATATTCTGTGGGGGGAATATGATATTATCATATGGTTTTAGCTCAACGAGAAAAGTTTAGTGTCAGTTTGATATGTCAGAAGTTTGCCCTTCAAAAACCCATAACAAAAAAGGGTCACACACACGTTCAGGCAATCGTAATATTCGTATCTAGGACTTCAAGTTCAAGTGTGAGTGTGTGCCACTGTTCTCATGTACCAAATTAATATTAAACTAAGTTTGTAATAGATAACGGGCCTCCCCTGCCGAACCCATCCTAGACCCCCATCTCCTTGTCTCCCAGGCCCAGCCCACTGATGAGGCGGATAGTTTCCTAGCAGGTAATACAGCGCATCTGGCGACTGGCGGACCACATTGGGCTCGAGAATGTGTAGCCCATGTCGTGGATAGTGAATCACTCTGGGTACTTAACGGGCCCAACGAGATCTAGCAAGTAGCAACCCATTTGAGTCTGTTAATTTGGTTTAATTTGTAGGGTTGAGATAAATAATATCAATCTACCAACATATCAAACTGTAATATGCTCTCTAATTTTTTATTTGAGTAATCAACTCTACGACTCTGACCAATTATGTTTATGTTATTGGACCCCGCTCCATGACCCAAATTATGAAGTACATGTCGGGATAACATGACTTACAAATAAAAAATAATTTCGCTCTTATTAGGAGAAAAATCAAGTAAAAAAATCGAGAAATCCACTAAAAAAAGACAGATACTCACCATTGTATTTCATATGCAAAGACGAACAATACCACAGTAATACGACAACGGTTTCAATTTAGTTTCTATGTTTTCTCAAAAAAATTTGGACAAGCGCAATAAAAGTATATATTTTGTTACTATCTTTTTCTATGAAATTTGTTACATTTCAATGTTCATATCGCAACGTGGGTGGGCGAAAGGGAAAAACTTTTTCCAGTACAGTCGCCAAATCAGTCGCCTCCTTTTCAATGCTAAAGCCTACAGATTAAAGAAAGAAGAAGAAAAAGGAAACCACATTGCAATTTCGTCCCTGCCCCGCCCCTCTCTGTGCAAAAAAAAAACAGAGCACTCTGTTTCTGCTTCTGCCCCATCCCTCCTTGACTCCGTCTGCTTCTCCTATAATTAATTTCTCGTCTCTGCTTGGTATCAGCAGCAAGTAGTACGCCCGACGCCCTCTCTCTTACTCCTTCCAATTCCTTCCATTTCCCCCAACTGTTATCTTTAACTCCTCTTCTCGTCATATCCTCCATTTACTACAGATCTCGCTACTTGTGTTGTCAAATTACTGTCAATCGGCGCCGACGGTGGATTGAGACGCAGAATACGATGCCATTTCCGACGGCGACGGCCGTTCTGTTCGCGCTGAGTTGCCTGTCCATATGCTTTGAGTTGCGTTCTCTTGCTCAAGTTTCCTCACCCCTCCTTCCACAAGAAGAAGGTACGCAACTCTCCTTCATTGGAATTCCTGTTTCTCCGGTGGTGGTTAGGTCCTTCCCGTCTTGTAATTGCTTGGTAGTTTACTCGTCTCGTCCAAAATGCATAATGTGTGTTTGCGGCAATTCGTGATTTCCTGGGGGAAGCAAGATTGTTTTGGTTTGTCAGTTCAAAAACAAATCCCTGGAATTACAGAGTTCGGATGGATAGGGAGAGGGATCTGGGATTGGAAAATGCAAAACTGCAAAACGTTTTAATGAACTAGAATTAATTAATGGGAAAAATGATCTGAAATGACAGTCGTTTTCTCGAAAACCAGTCTTTCTTGTCTGTTAGCAGAACGGTAGGGTGGTGTGGTGTGGTGTCGCCTTTATTTTTTTATTTAATTTTGTAGTGTTTTCTGGCGATCAGCTGTAAAATTCTTCTTATATATAATTAGTGGGTACGCTTTTTGCCCAAACTACTTGCTACTGTTTCATTTTTTGGCGCGTAGTGAAAGAGCTTCACCCTTGCTGTTCCCCAAACCAGCCCTAGCCCTAGCACTGAAAGAAATGGATAAAAAACTTAAAATAAAAAGAGCTCCCATCTTTGGCCATCACCTCACCTCTCTTTCTGCCGTCCCCTCCCCTGCCAAGTTCTTCTCCATACTCTTCCCTCTCCAATCACATCCAATTTTTCTTCGAATCAACAATCATCTCTCCATCTCTCAAATCTGCACCATCCATTCACTCTTCCTTCTCCCATGCCTCTTTGGTCCTTTTTACTTCCATTTACACATCTCCTCTTACCCACAAAAGGCTGAAATCCTGAAACTGGAGTAGCCCTTGCCTCTTTCTTATCCATTTGCCTAAAAAATCCAGCGACCTTCTCCAATTCTCGCTTCCTCTTTTCCCCCGGTTTGAGATTATGAGGAATAGGATGTCGGCGACCCTTTGTCGATGATGACGATATTCGATTAGGCAAAGCCGTACTAGCAGCGAAAGGAGAAGCTCTGCCTTCAATGTGCTTTGCCCATTGGTGTACAAGGCGCCATGAAACCCATTGACCGAGGAAACGGCTCTACCGGCCGTCATTGCTCAATCAAAATTGGCGATCAGTTGGTCGTCAGCCCTCCGTGCCGGAGGGGAGACAAAGAGAGGTCCGTTGGTTTCGATTTTCCGTCTCAACTGGATCAACTTTCCCGATGTTTGGTCGCGGTGTCACAATGCAAGTACAAGATTATCTACCATAGACCGACGCTGCATCCTCTGATGAATTGGTAAGTTCCCTCTGCTCTTGCTTTCTTCTACTTCCCGCTTATTCAAAAATACTCTGCTTGGTCGTCGCTTTCTTTCTTTTGAAAAACCCCCCATTTTCCATGCAAAATTTCTTCTCTCAAGGAAACCCCACTTTGGCGGACGAAAATGGCAGCAGCTGATCAGTGGCAAGAAAATTGGCTCAGCTCGCGTCAATCTTTGGTCAAAGAAAATTGACTTAGTTTTAGTCTGCCTCCGTGCTCAATCGTCGCCTAGGGGAAATCGAGAGGAGAGTCGGGGAGAGCGATTCTGCCACTGGTTCTTTGTCGTTGCCACCACCACCGAATTCATCATCTCCGCACCGTTTCTTTCACTAATCGACAGAATGGCTGAGACTCCAAGACAGAGGGAGAGAGAGAGTCGAAGAAACTGTAACATTGTTGAAGCTCCCAAAAGCAGCTTAATCTTTCCTTCGCGTCTATTTCGTGTCAAATCTAGGTATAATTATTTAGTTCTTACTTTCCCCTGAAGATTGGTCCTTTGAACAGAGCTTATCTTCAATCTTATGGCTTTTCCATTTTCTGGATTGGATAAAAAAAAAGTTTTAGATTTCGTTTTGCGTGGGTGCCTGTGATAAATTGGGCTTAGGGACCGAACGCAACCGGTGTCTGAATAGTTACGCTAGCCTTTGTGTTCGGCTGCGAACGAGTTGATTAGTGCAACTGTGAAAGAGTTGTTGTTTGTTTATCATTGCCTAAACCTTACTGTTTTATGGCCATGGGAGGATGCTTAGACTAGAGCTAATCTTGGGGGCATATTGTAGAGTGTAGGTTGTAGTTAAGCCAGGGGGTATATTTACTTTTTTCTCATTCGGTTCTCTAGCTTCTAATCTGAACCTGTAAAAGAGTATTTTTTGTTGTTGTTGCTTTGGGGTGGCTAAATCTGAATATGTTGTTTCTCACGTGAATTTTATGGAGGCACAGATTGGCGGTGCAAAAGCTGCGGGTAGGAGTATAGACAATGATGCCACAACTCCTGTTGGAATCATACATACAGGCAATAGTAAGTGATTTTATCTTCCTTTGAGATGGTGGATGCATACAAGCAATGCTAATCTTAGGTTGTTTAGCAGCGGACAAATCTAATATATTTTTAAAATCTCATATTGTCCCAAAGTCTATCCAGTTTCAGCACGTTGCTCACTTCTAAAAGATGAGTTCAGTCATTTAATTTTTCTGTCATTCATACCGATTCAATTATCATTCAGATTCCTAGCCTCTTTGTTAACTTTTGCTAAAGCTATTGGTGGATACAAACAATGGTACTGGATGTTTTGTGTCTTTGAAATGGTAGATGGATACAAGCAACTTTACTCTTTGTTTACGGGTTAGGTCTATAATTGCTTCTGTATGGCTTTTGTTTCAAACCAACTTGGTAGCATTTTTCCTTCAATGCAATTTGTTGCTTCATTGGCAGAACATTACGTATATGGTTGTTACTTGCCTTCAAACTTGCTCAACGCGTTAGTTAAGTCCAACGAACGACTGATCACAATTTGAGACTGCAGTCTGTCTATCTTACTCCAATCCTTGAGTTATCTTCTTCGCTTCAATGCTTCTTGCTTGATTCTAACTCAGATTTAACTCCTATAGATGGAGACCCCTTCAACTCTATTGAGCTTCCAAGAACTCCTGGTTCGGTGCTTGGGCACCTACATTTCCTTGGATTTTAACAAAATTCTTTCATAGTCCTGGAATGCTTCATTATTCCACATTTCAGTGTTCCAGTAATGCTTTAGTAGTCCAAATTT